ACAGGAGTTACTCTTTTATCAGGTCAAGTCTTTGATAGGAATCTCTTTTTGTTGTTGGATACTTGTTTGTTCGACTAACGGGATTTAGAGAAAATCTAGTTCTAGGCAAAAATCTTAATTTTTATTTTTTAGAGTTAGGGAATCTAATAATTGTGGGTGATTTTAACTCACATCAACTGTGGGTGACTTTAATAATTGCAGAATATCCGAACGCGGCAATGGAAGTGGCGAGGAGCGCGGTTGATAGTACTCTAGAGAGGGCAAGTTTGCATGAATTCCCCGGATTAAATAATTGTTAGTTTATTCTCGTCTTTCTCATTCTCTCTCTATATATCTCGGACTTAACTCGGATGCTCATATTCCTGTTGACATCTTATTGCAGTAGGCCCAGAGGAATTATATGCTATGCTGTTTCTCCAGGTCGTTAGACTACATCGGATTCTTTGACAGTGAAGAATCACTTATTGCCGTGGAGGAACTTGAAGAAGACAGTGGAGAGTAGTGTATGTATATTCTCTTTTTATGACTATATATATATATATATAGAGAGAGAGAGAGAGAGAGATCCAGATGAAATTGTTGATGTAGACAGAAGAAAAGGAGATTGGTGGAGGAACTAGTTCTTCAGTTCATTGTACATGCTATGTTAAATTGTTCATTATCATATGATTTTATTGCCTACTTTCCTGTAGCATTTTGTTTTTGCTTTGCTAGGTGGATTCAATTTGATAGAGTTTCCATGCAACGACTATGCTTCGAAAAAGGGTCAAAAATACCTCTAACCTACCCAAAAAACCTCACAAACATTTTTATCTAAAAATACTGTCAATTACTCATTATTTTTGGTGCAAATATACTCCTCTTCCCCTCCCCCCCTTGATTAAAAAATGCCTTTATAATATTAATAATGTTGTATCTAGAATTCAGTAATTTTCCTTCAACAATCTATATATCCATAGTCCAAATCCTCAATTTTCCTATTAATCAAAAGTGATAAAAAGATTTACATCACCTTTTAATTCTTAGATTGTTATTAATGTTAAATATGTGTTGTTTTAAAACCTGGTTAATTTTGATTCTTATATTTCATAATTGTGGCCGGCAATTGCATTATTACAGTTGATATTTGGTTGCATAGGATTTCTAAGAAATTGTAGGTAGTTGATGATACATAAGGAGGTGAACCTTCACTAATACTAATTAGTCTAATTAAGAATTGGAGGCACAAAATATCGAGCAAAATATTTCACTTAGCTTCTATAATTAAGCTATGTATGTACTCTTGTTTTGTATCTCTAATTTTTGTTGTTGTGGTTGAATAAGTTTATACCTACTCTACATAAAACGTCTCATCTCGCGCATTTACCTCTCAAAACATTTTGTTCAAGTCCGTCCATAGTAGTTTTATTTGGACTTTGTTGAAACGTTGTTACTTTTAAATTGTACTATCAGTCACCAAATAGACACTTTATGAATCTTAAACATCTCTCTAAAAACATACATCAAAAGGGACGTTCGCCCATTTATGAGGTAACTATAACTGTGATCCTTTAACACTGTCATTCCCATTAACCCTCACTCACTTCATCCAAAATAATATATTACGTCAACTTTAAAAGTAGTCCGCACCCTACAATTCTTTTTATATCTTTCTCAATTTTAAATGCATTATGAAGTTTTTTCAATACATAAAATCATTGACTGTTTTTTTCAATAATAAAAATATGAAAAAAACTTGAGCATTTGTTTTCATAAAATAAAATTTTCTATTATTTGCTTGCAGCAGTAGTAATAAACTAACAATACTAATAGTTATAGTAATTTTCAAAAAATAAATGTTGCGGTTCATTCAAATACGGGCGTACTCTATTATATTCTTTTAGGATAATTAAAACCAACTAAATAAGGCTAAACGACTTCGTTTTTTTTATGAGCATGTTTTATCCCCACAAAAAATAATCGCATTCACCATTTTCCTGAAATAATAAAACAAGAAAACCAGTTAATATCCGAAGAACTTGAAGTGAACAACATAATATGTTTTGTACCTTTGAAAGTGCACAAGGCCATAATTTCTTGGAGTCCTTAATGTTTTCATTTGGCCAAATACTCTTTGCTTTTACAAATATCTGATTCAATTGAATATCTAGACTTTTCAAATTATTATAATATAACTGTTAAATATAAAAAAATTAAACTATATATATAGTATAAAAAAGTAAAAGCTGAATGAGAAAATGTGGAGCAAATAATACATATTTATTATTCAAGAAAGGAATAAAACTTCACACGAGGAAGAAAAATATGTAAATTAAAGTAAGTAAATAATATAAAGAAATTATAGTTCCCCTATTTTAAAAGTTGTGAATATTTTTTTGCATGGATCTGGAGTTAACAAGGATGATCAATATTAAAGATGATAGTTACAGCTCGTCCATTTATGAATGAACTGTCCATTTTGGTGTGTTATAAGAGTTTCTCTCGATGTTTACGGTTCAAGAAATGTCAATTTTAATGCTGGACTTGCTACATGCATGCATGCTATCCTTAGAGATATATGATAAGCTGTATTGTCAAATGATCAATGAGTGTGAATTGAGAATTTTGTTGTGGTCTAGTGATTAATAAATTAAGGGGGTTGAGAATTACGATATCTTAATTTTAAAATACAATAAAAGCAAAAATAATAGGTTATTTTTCCCTAATTGTCCCTAATATTGATGGGAAAAAGTACATGATATAATATTGTTGATGGAAGATAACAAATATTCTATAAAATTAATCAAGATAATTAAATACTACGATATAAAAACAATATACATTTTTCTAAATTGCAAGCTTTAGTCAGGATTGAAAATTAAAGGCCGGTAGTTAAAAATGAGTTTTCAACTTTTATAATTCTACTACATTATTTTAATAATTATAATTAGTTTATGTAAATAGATTTTGGTCAGGGAGGTTATAGTAATCTTAAGAATTTACTGCATGTTTTAAATTAATATTTAACTATTATTTTTAAGCACTATCCCGCTTATATTGTGCTAAAATGTTAAAATATTTACATTGATATATTTAGGACAAGAAATCAATCCTTTAAAAAATCAGGAATTTAGGACAGCACATG